TTGTACAGCTGCATTAACCCATGCCTTGGAGATGGTCCTGTACTCTAATGCAAAATATCTGCTAAAGGAAAAAACAATAAACATTTGTGAAGGAAAACCATTTTTCTTCTCCTGCCTGCTGATTCTCAGTCACTCAGCCTGTTTATGGACAGGCCAAAAGACAGCACTATGCAAGAAAGCCTGGGAATGGTTAAACTTAATCAGGGATTCAAAGGGTCTTTTAGAAGTCCTCATGGACTCAAAGCTTGCTTTCAACTCACCAGGTTCACAGCTTTTTTTTTTTTAACATAACTTATCACAAATTTCCCGTTAAAATCAGTCTAAAATAAAATGTAGCTGCTGTAAACACCTGTCCTTTCAATTCTGAGCTGTCCACGGGCAAAGACCTAACCATAGCTTGGTACATTGAAAAATTACAGATTAACTGGTGAGTCTTTGTGCTGATATTGATGGGGCTTCTTGGCCATACCATGCATCCCCCCACTTTCCTTTCAAGCCATGTGAGCCAAAATTCAAGGCCTAAGGGAGTCAGATGAGAAGGCTAGAAGGGACTTAAGATCAACAGCAACATCTCCCTCCCTTACACAGGAACTCTTTAGCCATGAATTTATGCGGCATCAGCTGTTTTGGCCTGGTTAGTTCACTCTGCAGGAAGTAGGGTTGCTGGAACGCACTCTCCAATCCAATTTAGCAGTTCCTACCTCTCCTCCATGGCCTATGTTCACTGCTGGGACAGGCCTGCCCTGTCACATTCGGCACAGGCTCATTCCTGGAGCTCAGGGCATCCATCAGCTTCTAAACAGAGGCTTCTGTTCTTGCAAATAAATTCAATAGAGCAGTAGGCAGCAGCCAGTGCCAGGACCTGAGCAAATTTCATTCCAACTCAAACAGCATCAGTCTGACCCCTTAAAAGCCAAAGCAGAGAGAAATTGTACTTTGAAATGAGGTCATTACAAGAGGGGAGGACTGGATATTGCTGCTGACCACGTGAGTAGGAGAACAATGGCGAGGGGGTGGTTAAGATTAAACAGCTAGAGAGATTAACATCTCATGACTGATTTTTGTTCACTGACCTGCAATAAAATAAACAGTAAGACTTTAAACAAATAGGTGATTAGCTGTGTTATTCCAGTGCTGTCTTTGCTATTAGAGTACTGCCATGGTCTTCACTTTTCATTGGCTAATACTTCCTGGTTTTTATAGATAAGGCTGGCGGAGTTAAGAGGAGTAAGCAACAGAAATCTTGCTATGCTAATAAGCATAAAAACAGCATTTCATTTTCAGAGTGCAAGTACCTGCCCCTTTGCTACTCCCTCCCCTGTTGGCTGGCTGGTATCTGGTAGTCTGTACACAAAAATCAAGCCCAGCAGATCGGGTAGTTTGCCGTTCACATGTTCACATTTTCAGACAGCCAAAATCAGGGAGCTGAAAGGTGCTTGTAGGTGTGTGTCCAATGGGATTGGTGAATGATAGCCTTCTGCCACCTTGACTGAAATTTCCTCCTTTCCTGAGCTATATTGTCTCCTGAATAAAAAAAAAGGCTTTGCTGTGACCAGACCAATTAGCCAGGACAACTTCAAAATCTTTTCTCAGCTATGCAAAAAGCGATGGACATAGTTCAGAGCTTAGATGGGATGCAGAGTCACAAATTTGTTCTACAGGACCCAGAAGAGACCTCTGATCATATGTGCACACTTAGCAATATTTGTCACAGTTGGTGCCCACCACTGCACTGCAATACTATCCACAGTGGGAAAGGTAAGAGACCATTCTGGGTCTGTTCTTTGTAAGTACCTGAAATCGTGTTGTACAGCAAGTGTGGAAGTGAATGGGGCATCATCCACTTTCCCTTTGGCAATTTAAGAGTCCCATTGTAGCCCAAAGACTGACTCCAGCAGCAAAACTCATGGTGTCAACTTGGTGCTGCAATTCATAGCCCAGTTTATGACACTGAAATCGGTGATGGTTTCAGCTTACACTCTTTGCTGCACAGCAGCTGAGGCACAGACATACTGCCTGCAGGACCAGAGGCGCTAACTTCTTAAATTGCCCCACACAAGCTTGTGAGTCAGAGTCACTAGAGCACTGCCCATGCAAGCAAGCCCCAAAGTCCCCCTCATTTCTGCTACAGTAATCCTGACTTCAGACATGGCACTACTGATTCTCCGATTCCTGAAAATTCTCACTCATTTTGGTGAAGAGCTTTTTCCTAGTCAAACATCAGGAGGAAACACCTAGCATCCACCTTGGAATGGCAAAATACCCATTTTGTGCGAGAGATTAGTTTATCTATAGGACAAATATATAACCAATCTGTTTTGAAAAGAATCGATTTTGTCAGGACGAAGTCTAACGTATTAAGTGCATAGGACTATATATCTCCAAGAGGCAGCCAGCAGCAAGAGCAAATACCAGAGTCAAAGCAATGAGAAATTCAGTTTTACTCGATCTCTCTAAAACAATGTAAAGGATACTGGCTCCACAAGGGGAGTCACGGTTGAAGGATCGAGCATCTCTGCTGCATTTTCTATATCTAAGAATGGTTAGAGGTGCTCAAAATAGGAACTAGCCCAGACTGGCTCCAAAAAGGAGTTTGTTTGCAGCAAAGCAGAGTCAGAGAGAACACCAACCGCCAAATTCTGCACAGACTGTCACCAGGTCAGGTGCTGTTGTGGAAGTGATCTGCCAAGTACTTGCACACAGGTATTCCCACTGCCAGTGCTAAACAGTCCCTTTATGTGAAGCAAGTATGTGGTGTGGTTGACAAAGACATCCGGGGCCAGACTTCATGGCCTTTCATGGGGACTTGCATTAACACCCATTGTTCAAAGAATTTGTGTGCAATTCATGCAGCAACTGTTTCCC